AAATTTTGACTCGTAGGCTTTATTTTGTGTTAATTAATGTTTTACTATGAAACCTGATAAATATTGGTATTTTGTTTTCTTTAACAAAATGATAGTGTAATAAGATGGAATATTATTATTGGTGAGTAGACATAATTCTTTTTTTCTTATTTCATTAAATATTTCCCAATTACATGTAAATGTTTTTAAAAAACATTCATTTTTAAAAATTTTGAGTTCCAAATTCTCTCCCTCCCACTCCCTCTGCTCCTTGAGAAGGCAAGCAATTTGATATCGATTATACATGGGCAGTCATGCAAAATGTTTCCATATTAGCCATGTTATAAAAGAAAGCACAGACAAAAAAATCCCAGGAAAATAAAATAAAAAAACTCATCTGCATTCAGAGTTCATCAGAGGTGCAGAACATTTTTCATCATGGGTCCTTTGGAATTAGAGTAGACATAACCTCTTAAAAGTTATGTGTGTGTATATATATGATATAGGATCATTTTGGAATAGGAATATTCATGTGTTTATGGTAGTAGACACTTACCTTGTTTTAAAGAAATGAATTCTATAGAAATAGGAACATAGCTAGTAAAGTAGATGATTATTTGGCTTACAAAAGGATCCACCTGCGATAGGTTTTTATTAATATAACATTTCTCTAGTGCATTCTGATTCCATTTACAGAATTAAAAAGATGGATTTTTGTAAAATTGCTATCATAGGATTCAGAACTGGAAAATCCCATAGGGATTGTCTTGTCCAAGCCATCCAGTTTATAGATGAGGAAACTGAGACCCCAGGCAACTGAAGGACTTGCATGAGTTTGCAGAGATACCAAGTAGCTGACCCAGGTTTCAAACCTGGGTCCTTGGATCCTAAGTCCATGTTTTCCTGTCAAATTGTTGATCAGAACCCATTTCTTTTTGAGTCTCTGTAAAGTCAGGAATGCCTGTATTCATATATAGATGATTTAAAAATCAAGTGTCTGTAGCATAATCTTAATTTGGAATTAAATAGAAATTTTTGATGAATTGGATTTATTTTGCTGTCTTTTTTGGTATATGAGGTGTTGGTTCCTTGGATCTCTGATTTCATTGGTCCAAGTCCTTTCAGTGGTGTGGAATACAACTATTCTTTGTCTTTTCATGTCGCGGGACTCTGTCTTCGCACAAATCCTCCATGTGGGTCCTCTCTCCTCACATGCTAGGGGCTACCTCTGCATCTCTTGGCATTGCATGGATCTACCCAGGAAGTTGGAAGCCTGTGTGCCTGGTATTCCTTGCTCTTGCTTCTGCTCCACATTGGCCCATCTCCTCCTGTCCTCATCTTTTTAGAAAGATCTTTAAGCATTTTCTCCATTGCCCTTTAAGTGATGCACAATTTTAATTAATTGGAGACTGGAGACTGGAGACTGGCTTCTCATAGCCACAAAGCCAACTTACTTTATAATATAAATATTCTTTCCCTAATATTTTTCATCATAATGTAGGCAATAAATGCAATTCAAACATTTATTAAGCACCTACTATCTACAGGGTCCTGCTGATGTACCATGAAAAAAGTGACAGTTCTTGTCTTCGTCTAGGAGTGAAAATCTGAGGGGGCCTTGAGTGATCTACCAAATCATGAAACAAAGCAGAATTTGACAGGGCAGAGGAGAGATCCATAGGGGTCCCTTTCGCTGGAGGATATCCGGAAGTGCTCCGTGGATGTGAGAGCAGTGAGAGTAGAGAGCAGGATTTCTCACACAGAGAGGCCGGACGGGGGCATTAGTGTGAGGTCATGGTCTGTGATCTCCCGGATGACAGAATTTGTTCCTGACTTTAAAACTGGTTCCCAGATTTGGGGACTTGGGATATATTTTCTTTCAGGAATAATATTAAATAAACAATAGTCAGGAGCTTAGCCAGAGAGGCACCCCCGCCCGCATTGAAGCTCATGATGTTAACTGAACTGTGAGGCTGTGGGTCTGTTATCGGCAACATTGGAGTCCTAGAAAATTCAGCTTCGTTCTGCGCTAACCTTAACTGTCAGCAACCACCCTGGGAACTCAAATACTCTCGAGCAGGGTTTCTTTGGTGGAGTGGGTCTAGTGGTGAATGAAAGCAGTCAGCGGACATGGCTCTGTGCCTCATTCACACCCTGCCCTTTTCCCCTCCCTCCCCTGGGACCCCGACCACCCAAGCAGGGGAAAAGTGACGGAGCTCCTGTCTTGGATCTGTTTCAGGCAATACATTTGGGTTTGTGGTATATTTATACCAGGGCGGGGCCCTGGTGGTGTGGTACCTCTGTCTGAGGACTTAGTAAGCACCTTAATGTTGTAAGTTTGATACGAAAGCGAATGTCTGACTTACTTCATTCAGCTTTTTTAATTCCCTAGTCCTAATTAACATGTGATTGACATACTTACTCATTGACAAAACTTTTTAGATTTGTCAAAAAGTCACCATTTATGTTAGCAGCCTCTTGTTAACCTAATTTGAATTTGTTACCTACATTTGATGATAGGTTGGATTGCAAACTTATCATTTATTTGATGAATACAACTTTGTGAGGTTTCACCGTATTGGAAACATAGCTTTTGGTTTGGCAGTACCTCATACATTGTCTAGGCTATTAATCAGTTTTAATCTACAAAGAATTACACCAAAAATATTTTGAGGTACATGGGACAGTGAAAATGGATAGGAACATCGGAAGGGATTGGCTGTTCTTGATGCTGCTGATGGTGTGAAACAGACCATAGAATAGTTGCTGATAATTCATATCTTTTAAATGCCAGTGGATTTTTAAGGATAGATTTCTCTTTTTATGTGTTACTTCCTTAATAAGTCCTTTTTGGGTAAACTTCTTTTGAAATGTATTTGCATTTTGATAAGCTTTTCTATTTGGGAATATGAATTCCTATATTCTTCTGAGGAGAGTGAAGCTTCATGAACAGTAATGAATTATCAAGATGTGAAATAAAGGCCTATGGGACTGGCGTCAAGGGAGAATTCTGTCAATAGGATAAGATGACAGAATTTCAGAGCAGGCAGGAACCAGAGAGGCCATGTACGTACACTCCTTCAGGAGGATTCTGAAATGAACTTGTGTGAAGTGCTCTTTCTCTCTTGACAAGGCCACGCTGGTCCGATCCCTCCTCCCTTCCTGCCTGCTGATGGCATCTCTCCTGCCCATCGGGTGCTCATGAATATGGGGATTTTCCTAAAGCATGTGCCTCCCCTCTAGGATCAAGGATACACTCCTCTCTTGGGCATTAAAAAGTCCTTCCCAACCAGTTAGGCCTTTACTCTTCCTACTTTCTAGTTTTCTTATGCCTTTAATAGCTTTAAGCTGCTCTTTTTTGGGACACTGCGGGTTCCTCTCCATCACAGGTCTTTGATCCAGCTGGACCGGTGTATGAACAAGATGCTCCATCTCTCTCCCACTCTTTTCTTTGGCTTTACCCTAGGCCTGGAAAGCTCTTCCTTGACTCCACCTCCCAGCTTCCCTTTCATTTACCCCATTCCTACATGTATGTTTGTGAACCCACATATAGCCCCTCTGTGTTTATAGTTACTTTCTGCATGATGTCTTCCCCATCAGAGTGTACGCTCCTCGGAGGCAGGCAGGCGTCTTGTGTTCTTTGCCTTTCTCTGTCTCCTTAGCACTTAGCACAATTCCTGGTGCATACCAAATGCTTAATAAATGCCTGTTGCTGGACTAAGGCCTGTGGACTCCAGAGGCTGTACTGCCTCTCCACTGGACCAGGCTGCCTCATAGGTCATTGCATTTTGCAGGAAATCCTTAGCATTATTCGTAGAATGTAGACTCTTTGAGCTCCTTGGACCACCTGGATTTTGTGTTTCTATCCCTGGTGCTCAGCAGAGCAGTTGGCACATTGTCAGTGCCTAATAAACGTTCCTTTATTTGGGGTAGTCGTTGTTAGGAAGGTTTTCCTCCTCACTGGACTCTAAGCTGCCTTTTGGCAGCTTTTCCCTATTGGTGGTTGTGCCCTCTGCTAGTTCTGGCATGGATCTCCCTTCTGTGCTTGAGGACAGTGTGGGCAGCCTCCTAGGGTCACTTCTTTTCCTGACTAAGTATTCTCAAGGTCCCTTAAACATGTACATGTTTAAGTCCATGTACAGCAAAGTGTCTGGTTCTCTGCTCTGCTTAGCGTGCTCCGAAATGGGTTCCAACCAAAGTATCCTTCCCCGAATGCCATGCCCAAAGCTCGGGCCATTTCACATGTGGTCTGGGATACCCCCCCCAGTGTTCTTGATATATGCTTTCTCTCAGTGCTGCCTGAGAGCCCGGCAGCTTTTTGGACTGTTCTGGGCCACCATGACTCGTGGATGTTCTGTTTCAACACTAAAGCCCCTGCTCCTTTTTCCAAGGGCCTGTTGTTTAGCTAACCCTCTCATCCTGTGCTTTTGTAGTTTATTTTACTGGGATGTGAGATATACAACAGGAATAATTACAGATATTACTGTGCTGCCTTTCAGTTTGCAAAGGGTTTTATGTTGTCTGATTTGTGCTTCCCCACATTGGGATGGGAAAGCAGGGCACAAGTATTGATCCCCTATTCTTTTGGCTGTTGGTGGAATTCAAAGACTGTAAGGTCAGGTGGAATGGGAATGAATGTATAAAAACAATCATGACTGCTTATTAGGACAGGGATGGCTTTCTGTAATTAAAAGATAGGGTGGGGGGCTTTTTGCACAAGAAAGATGTTTTTTAATCATTTTAACTATTTGTCTATGATTCAGTTCATTTATGTTTTTGGTTTCAGTGTATTGAAATTATGTGTATATGTAGTTTACATATGCTACTATTGATTGAATATACTTTTTAGAATTTGTTTTCATGTGCTGAGCTAGTTTTGCTTTTTTAATATTTTGAAATTTTTCCTCTTCTGATAAGTGATACTGATAAACTTGATATAAATGTTGTTTAGTAGTGCGACTAATGTCTTAAGATTCAGCACACATATAGCTTTAATGTTTCCCTGACTTTGAACTGCTCAGATATTTATCCAAACATCATTGCTATGGGGTTTCCTGCAGAAAGACTTGAAGGTGTTTACAGGAACAACATCGATGATGTAGTCAGGTAAGAACCTTTTGGATACTTGTCTTTTATGGAGAGTGTGGGATATGTGTTGCATCCATATTCTTAATTTTGAAAGTAGTTTTTTTTTTTTAAGGTAATTGGGGTTAAGTGACTTGCCCAAGGTCACACAACTAGTAAGGGTCAAATATTTGGTCTGAGGCTGGATTTGAACTCAGGTCCTCCTGACTGCAAGGCTGGTGCTCTATCCACTGCGCCACCTAGCTGCCCCTTGAAAGTAGTTTTGCAACTTAAAAAATGTTTTACTTTATATGTGGACGTTTCACACTTGTGGTAATTGAGAGCTTTTGTTTTGGACTTAATGTGATTTCATCTTTCCCTATATAAATTTGAAAACAGCTCCCTGTAAGTGGAGTGTGTACCTTGGTGCAGTGTGTTTTTGGAGCCAGTGAGGAGGCTCTCCACCTTTGTCTGGATAATACCCCTCCTTTGTCTAGATAGTTGATACTTAACATTGCTTTACAAAGGGAATTCCAGCCCCTGCGGAGCTTAAAATGCAAATATTCTTAGGAGACGTAGCTGTCTTAATATGAATCAGTCTCACTGAGGTATGATCAACTTTAAATAAGTATGCATCAAGGCTGGAAAGCAGGATAGGGCCAGGTTGTGGAAAACTTTAAATACAAAATGAGTTTATATTTCATTCTAGAGGTAGTTGAGAATACTGGGTTTTATTGAGTTATGAGGATGACTTGATAGGACCTAAATTTTAGGGAAATTACCTCTGTATGCAGGCTGAATTTGAAGAGTAGTGAGACCAATGAGTACTTGAACTAGGGTGGGAGCAGTGTGAGTAGAGAGAAGGGGTGACATACGAGAGATGTGGCGATGGAAATCAGATTTGGCGACTTCTGAGGTTGTAAACCTTGTTCATGGAAGGATGGTGGTGCCTTTACCAAAACAGTGACATTCCATCTGAAGAGAGATAGGGCAGGGGAGGGGGGGGAGGTCATGAACTCTGTTGACATTTCTAGTTGATATCTCTGGGAAGTCCAGTTGCTGGGGCCCTGGAGCTCCAGAATTTGGGGCTGGAAATACAGCTTTAGGAGCTCTCTTCATAGAGATGGTAATTAGACCCTTGACAGCCAAGGACATGAAGTGAGCCCAGGGCTGAGCCGAGCACTCACTGTGAGTGGTTGGGTGGAAACAATGGACCAGCAAAGGAAAGCAAAGAGAAGACGAGTTGTTAGATAGACGACGGACAATGGGAGCCCTATCCTGAAAACTCTGAGAAAAGAGAAGATGATAGCAGCGTCGTCGGCACTTTGGTGAGGCCATTGGGTGCAGCTCTCCTGAGGGCAGGCTTGGATTGGGGGTTGTGGGAGCGGCTAGGGCGAGAGACCTGAAGGCTTCCTGAGGGAGGGAGCGAGTGCAGAAAAAGAGATGAACTTTATCTGCTGAATTCTCTTACTTGGCAGTTCAGGCAGTATTTCTCAAGGTCCTTTTTCATGATTTCGGAATCCTTAATGGAAATCCTGGGAACTTGAATGTTGATGTAACGTCCCAAGATGAAGGATTGTTTTTTTGTTAGGAGCATGTCAGTGAGCATGTGATGTCTGTTGGACTGTTTTGTAAATATTCTAATCTTTTTTTAGTTTCAGGAGCTCAGAATCAGCACATAAACACATTCATAAGCAAATTATTTTATAGTTGTCCACTGCTATGTTGGTGTGTTTTAGGTTTCTTTGAATGCTTAGTTGGTTGTGGACAAAAGAGCAATTGTAACTATACTGTTTCAGTAAAACATTGAGGGTTTTTATGTAGTTACAGAATGACATTTGTTAACATCGTCTTGGTGTGTAGACATGAAAGAACCTGTATTTAGGTCATTGGCTGTGTGTGTGTGTGTGTGTGTGTGTGTGTGTGTGTGTGTGTGTGTGT